TGAAGATGGCTGTAATGGGTATTGGTGTGTGTGTGTGTGTGTGTGTGTGTGTGTATTTTTGTGTGTGTCAGTGGGGTAGAAGACAAATGGCCAAATTCACTCATCACATCAGCTGCCCCTGTGGGAGTACCGACAGCAGGATAACAGAGCGGAGGAGCGAGGCTCTGGTTTCTGCCTCTTTCCTCCTTCCTCCTCCTTCCCCTCAATCCCTCCGGCCTTCTTACCCTCCCTCCCTTCCCTCCATCCTCTATGTGCCCCTCTCACACTCTCCCAACTGCCCTCATTCCCCTCTCCTCTTCTCAGATCCATAGACAGGCTCTTATCTCAATGGAAGAGGAAGTGGATGGGAGGAGGCCTCTGGCCACTTTGACCCAATTAGTTAGGCTAATTAAGAGGGTCTGTGGCCTGTGGGTCAGAGCTCAAACACACCAAGAGAGAAGGAGACCTATGACACTACTTGTTATAGGAATATGGTAGGGCGCAATAATCTAGTGGAAGATGCATCAACATTCTTTCACTCAAGAATTCATAGTGCAGAAAGTTTTTAAAAAAGAAACATTCTGACTGTGAGCGTCATCATTGAATGTCTTTTTATTGCTCTCCAGTCTTTACTGTCAGGATTGGCGAAGAAAACAGTCACAGCTACAGTAAATGAATTGCAGCAATAAATGTCATCCACGTTACAGCTGTTTGGCATGGCCACATTTGCATGCAGATGTCCATGCATTGAGTGTTTGGTGGTTCCACCATGATCCAGATGTCGGAACCAGCTCTGGCACTCAAATCAGCTCCTTCAAAGCCCCTGAAAAATATGAAGGACATTCTCTGACAAACCCAAGGGGATTAACCTTCACTGTGAGGCCCCGCTGCTTGCACATGACATCACTCACTGTGGCGTCCAGCCAGCTCCCGTTGACTTGCAACACATTTTATGTTGCAAGAAAAACAGTGCAAAAATATTTGAGCAACGGTACCAAGCAGCGGTGTCCAATAAAAGAATGTTGTTAAACCAGGCTTGTGAAACACTCAGTGGAATATTTCTCCCTATTGTGCATTATGGACAGTGCATTTAAGTTGGCCTGCACGGCTAAGCTTTGAGTTCTCAAAAAAGAAGCCAAAAAGTTTTTACTTTGATTGTCCCTATCCTCCCCTTGCAATGGCTACATTGTACCAAGTAGGCTGAAGGGTACTCTGTCAACACACTGAAACATGAATCCATTCATTAGACAACCTCACGGACTTCCTTGTGTTCTCCCAAACCACTTTACCTATTTCTGACTCTACTGGAGCCCTTTTGTGTGGACCGGTGATGTCTGCCTCACCTGTCATACAAACAGGACATTTCTTTGTCTGACCTATTTGTTTATTGGTTGCTTATCTCCCTATAGCTCCTGGGGCAAGACAACACAAACACAACTTAGAGGAAGGGCGGAGTATCCTTCAAAAAACTCTTCAGCACCCCATTATCCTTTTCATCCCCAAAGAGAGGACACAAACAGGAAAAAAGGATCATCCCACGTCAAGGAACCAACGTAGCCAAAAACAGTTCAGTGGAGTGGAACACTGACGCCTGATCCAGACCTGGTGCTGTCAACAGGAGCAGAAAGGAAATGCTCTGATGGCTGCAAGAGTGCTTATAGACGCAGCAAACCTCAGCTAAGAATTAAACAACAACATCTCCAGCTTCTTAACGTCTCCAAGTCACAGATAAATTGCATAATTAACAATCATAAAGTTATAAAATTTGTTGAATGTCTTCCAACCAAATATCAGGAGAATAAAAAAAATGTAGATCTGTAATAATTCTTACCTTCAGTATCAAACTCGATGGTGTGACAATCTGATTGGCTGAGGCCCCATGGACAGTAGAAGACAGATCCTCCCTGTGTAACGTTAACCTGCCTTGTGTTGGCCTTTGGAGCTCCTATCACAACACTCACACTGCAAATGAGAGACAGAGAGAGACAACTTGCTGTAAATCCAATGTTACAAGTCAACCAAACCACAGGATCCTTATAAACCTGAATTTCTTTAGCAAACCGTCGCTAAAGGTTTGTAGCTCTTAGCCTGGCCTTAATTAGAAATTGCATTCCAGACCTCCCACCAGACAGCTTTTAACATGATGCAGTATGCACATTTTACCGCTCAGCGAGCTGTATTCTGACTCAGAAGCAAAACATTTTAACAGGTTGCAGCACTGCTTTACATAATCCCATACAACCAGGGAAAACTGCTGCTATGACATGTGCACATGTGATGCTCACAGGCACATTCACTCCACTCGTGCAGTCAGACACACAAGGAGAAACACTCACACGGTCACACATGTATCCCTGTGGGGCAGATTCAATAGGAAAACAAGAAAGCAGACAGGCTAAGTGGAGTCACACTCTTGTTTCTTCAGCTGTGACACTAAACTTCCATGTCCTTAGAGCTACACTGTACAACTACAGGAAGGGCAGCCGACCACTTCAACTGAAGAAAGAATCTGTGTGGTTACAGGTGAGCACTGGAATAATAACACAATGGAAAGACTTCAGAGATAAAAGAGAAGACGAAAAGGCAGAGAGTGATGATACCTTAATGAAGAAAAAACGGTTTGGGGCATGATAAAGTCTGAATAATATCTCAGTAGATGATGTGACTTAAGTGGATGGCTTAGCCATTACCTCATTCTAGACCCCCTTGACCCGACAAGCATCACAGGCATTGATGTGGGTAAAGGAGGCATGGGACCATTGAGACCAGACGGTGTCTAGGGGGCTCCAAAACAGGAAGAGCACACCCTTTCCTGACCCAGATCTTCCAGTAGTGCATGAACGTTTACATTTTGGCTAAACTTAGCATCCTGCCCCCAAGGGTAACTACTCAGCAGGGTCCAGAGGAAGATGGGGAGCCAGCATGAGTCAAAAAGCTTTTAAACCGTGCAATATTCCAGGGCCTTGTGATCCATGATAATTAATCCCACTGAACCTATCTATTACCTCATGTTAAAACGAAGAAAGTTTTGGGATGGCGTGTGGAAAAAATCTAACAGAAGTGGGCCAGGGTGTGTTGGTGGTCAGTACAAAGCCTTAAAATCATTTTAGCATCTATGGTTTTGAAAACACACAACTGTGGGAGAACAAAGAGGAGGCCACAGAGCAGAAGTTATGAGTTTAATATCTCACCGTTACTGTGGTCTTAATACCTCAAAAGGGATACAGTACAATGCCAATTGCAAATGTGGAGCAGAAACTCCTGGTTTGTGTTGGAAGAGAGAAAAAGAAACAAACCAGTCCAACTTGGAAAGCAGAGAAACTGTTTCTGACCGCATATGCAGACGCAGGAATATCCCAGTAGAGCAGCAGGGCTCCACCTGTACAATAATCTAAATCACAGAGAGGCTTCCTGGTCCGGGATTCTCACGATGAGACAGCTGAGGATCTCCCTCTCTCTGACTCATATGCAAGCAGTCAGTAAATATTTAACACTAGCAGAACACACTCTGTTAATCTGTTCTGAAGTGCAGTGCAACCACCTGCGAGCAGACATAACAAAAGATTAACTGTAAGAATGATTACCTGTGTTGAAAGATAAGGCTGTAAAAGTTTCGGAACAGACCGAGCAGAACAGAGATCCGCTGATGTTTCTACGGCAGGAAGGAGTGTAAGCACATGTATGCAGTACACAGCACCACTGGAGGAAAATGTACACACTAATGAGGCCAAGGAAATTGGAAGTCTCAGCACCTTTTGTTGAATCAGATCTGAATTGAATCCAGCCATATATTGCCGTGGCAGCTTTTCAAAGGGAAAAAATACAGGAAATAACAAAACGAGCAGCTCATGCTTTAATCAGCAAGTTGGCAGCTGAAGCGAGTTTTCACTACCTTACACAGATACATGCAGATGTGCAGACACACACACACAAAAACACAGATTGATAGCAATCTGAAAGTGCTGTAAATTAGAAAGAATTAGCATTTAATGGGTCTTTATCTGGAGAAGATCAGTCTAGTTCTAAACTGCCATCTCCCCCACCCTACACCTTATCTGCTAGCTGTGTGCTGAAAAGGTAGAGCTTTTGTATCATTAGCATTTAATGAAGCTCTAACTGCAGTCAGCTGAGTGCTGCATTACAAATTCCTTTGTAAAACTAGGTGGAGTGTATGACTGGCTCTTGGGGTGGGTATGCAAATATAAGTAATCGGTCGGGAGCCAGCAATCCTCAGCTGTTCAGTTGAAGGACAGACTCATCGGGTTGCGTCCAAGCCACTGTGGCTAAAGTGGGTCTAGACAAAGAACTGTTCACAGAGGGATTAAAAGCAGCACTATCACAGGTTTGATAGGGATCACAGCAGGCATGGCTCAGGATACATCTGAAAAGCCATGACCAGTCTTTAGTGATGGTCACTGAAATGTTTTGGCTACTAGAGAATTAAACCAATCTTCACTTGCTCATTTGTCAGTTTCATGTTGCTATGGACAAATAGCGAATCCATTTCACAAGAGAGACTTAAGCAATGTCCTAGTGGGGGAGTAAGCAGATGAAAAGCATTAGTCAACCCCACCAGCTGCCATACAGCAGCCACTAATGACCTTCACCACCCAGCTGACAATTACGCATTAATTAAACTACTGTAAGTGATTTGGGCTGCAAGTGAGGAATGCGTAAACAACGGCTTCACTGTAAGAGAGAACTGGGTTTGTCTCATTTGAAACTCAAGCAATCAGAGGACGTCCTACAAAAAAATCTCTCGCCACACCATAATTGCCCAACTGTGACCACTATTTTATGTGGGGTTGAGAAATTAGGGGTGATGCAGAGTGCTGGAACTTGCTGATGTGACACTATTGTGCATAGCCATTGCTAATAAGTCTATGATGAGGTTACAGAAGGAGGTTGTCACAGGGCAAATTCCCCTGTTACCCCCCACCCCTTTAGCCCAAACATTTTCCCTCCATTCCACATTTAATTGTCTTCCACCCAGCTGCAGAGCTGATGTCACTTGAACACTATTACAACCGCTTTAAGATAGAAAAAGGAGAGAAAAAACACAATCACATTTGTTAAGCTTGCCAGTGCCGGCTGCAGTCACCATCTGCAGTCATAAACACGGCTCAACGAACGCTATGGCACTGACGCAAAGAGAACGGGTGGGGTGGGAGGACTGGCCTTCAAACTCAGCAACACCTAAGTAAAAATGTACAGTGACCCATTGAGTTTACACCAGGCTATCAACACATGCTTAAACACTGGAGTGGTTCCATATCAGTAAAGGAACTTCAGGCAGTGACCTGATTTGAGCCAGAGGCAGCACTTGACCTTCACTGTGCTCGCTCCCGCAGTGCAGGAATGGAGCATGCTAAAATACAACAAAAATCTTTACCCCTTCGACTCTGGAGAATCACTTTACCGACATAATTAAACAGATCAATGAGAGTGGAAATACAGAGCTTGACAGTCAGTTCACATGTTAAGTGAATTAATAAATTATTGTATGATGTCATCCTACAGCAATACTCTATTTTTAAAGCATACGTGGGCAATTAAAGTGAGATCAGCTTAATGACAGAAAAGGAAAGCAGAAGTAGTGTGTGATGACTTATTCTAGACCACATGGAGCCATACGAATAGTGTTGCGTCCTCTCAGAGCCAAGGCCAGACAGAAGCTGTTTGAGTCCTTCCCTCTGCCATATGGACGATCGTCTACTCACACACCACATACACACATGTTCTCAGAGCTGGTGTCCAGGAGCCTGAAGATGATGAGAGTAGCAGTTCCTGCTGAGATGGCGTGTGCTGACTACAGAGAGTCTACTGTGCTGTGCTGAAGCCACATTTTTTGTTAAAGGTCAGATGGTACTGTAGTCGGAGAACCAGATAAAAGATCAGGATGTTGCTCTACAGGCCTGCAGCAAGTACAGTCTTTCATAACAATGAAATAGATTTCCATATCCTAGGATGAACTTGAAAAGGAGCAATTGAGATCTGAAACCGCACCAACCAGCGCTGATCAGATAAACAGTCCAGTCTGTCGAGGATCTGAGCCCGGTATCACCACAAAACCATTTCCTTGGTATCCTCAAAAGGATAATAGTGTTGGGCAACAGGTGGTCTGCAAATTACAAGTGCTGCTAGCCAAGGCAGCCCAACAATGTTGTTTATTGTCACACAGGAGAAACGTGTGGACATCCAAAGGCATTTTGAATTCATAGTTTAGACTTGATGATTTTACGCTGCTCTGCAGCTGGATAGGAGTTACTAGCCTGCTAACTGCATCAGCAAGTTGACACCAAGTTGATTTAGCAATTGTTGGTTTTACTTCCGACCTTTCAGCAAGCAGCAATCATTCTGTGACTGTATTATACCATCCTTATGGTGCTTTTACAGTTAATGTGTGCAAACCAGCAGCTGTTAAAATAAGCATTTCACAAGTGGCAAGTGAGAAATTTGACACATCCTGCTACTTGAAAAAAACATCATAATCAATGTATTCAAGTTTATGCATGTTCTCATAGCAAACTGTTGCCCACCCCCAACCCCAAATATAACCCCTCCCTCCCCTTTCACAGTCCAACTGCCCTAAAATGTTCCTGCAGGGAGTTTAACTGTTGGTGGTTCACACCTCTCCACAATGCCCACGTCAGGGGGTCCAGTCCTCTCACCTCAGGATAGAGAGGCTGTTGTATGAAACGTGGTGATGGGGGGGATGACGGGGGGTGAAGCAGCTGTTGAAACACTTTGTCTGTGCACCCCCAACCCCAGCCGCACCCACACATGCATACATACAAACGCACGCACACATCCAGAGACAGTAACGGCCAGAGGTTATATCTCATTTTCATCTCAAATATGAGTTCTTATGCTAATTTGAATTTCAGCCAGTAGAAATTAATAGCACACAAGCGGACGATGGCGTCATTCGCTTTTTGCTAAAGAAAAAATAGCTTTTATCAAGTTAGCAAGATGTGAGTCATTTAGTGACCTGGGGTTAAAACAAACCAGACCTGCTGGCAGTGAGAGATTAGATCTAGCAAAGTGTGAGTCAGGACGACCCTGACCAATGGTTAACTCCATTCCAAAGGAGACATGACGTCCTCGGGGCATTCCCGACCCAATACAGCAGACGTGACAGCAGGGTCCATGGGCCCTTTAAACCTATCGTCACCATCCACACCGACATCTTTTTCCAGTGAAACACACACAGGCTCATTATTTAAAGCCCCTTTTACCAACAGACCAGTTAAAGCTAGACAGGCACTTTATGTTTGAGACAGACTGCAGAGTAGACATGCTAAGTATATCCCAACTGACCTTTACAGCAATAGACAATAATGTTCCCAGCCTCCTGGCCTGATTAACATAGGTGCCTACAAACTTTGACAATAGAAAATTAAAACAGCTATTCAGAAGGCCAATAAATTAAGAAAGAAATGAGTCATAGGGAAAACTCCTCCAATGGAAAACAGTAAACATTTTCTGCCGGCAGACAAAGGGCCCCATTGTCTGCACTCAACGACAAGAACCTGGATGAAGAAAAACCTGGCAGCCCAAATATACAAGCTGTACTCCTACAGCTCAAACACTTACTGGTTTGATTTAGAAACAAGTCCATAGAAAAGGACACCAATGAAAACAATAACAGAAATAAGACTGATCCTATATGGAGAGGGACCTCGGTGTAGACAGAGAAAACATTGCTGCTTTAGTGGCCAAAAGAGACCCCGGTCCAATGTCAATATTAGTTAAACTCTAACCCTGTTTGAGAAGGTAAACTGCAGGAGAGTGACCTACATGGACCGGCTGACCTCGGCTGTGTGCTCGTCATGGTCAAACCATCCATGAGCTAATGCACATCGCCGACACGTCACTGAAACACATGCATGGACTGGAACATATTACTATCTCCATCAGAGGCTCCTCCATCATTAAACATAGCTTTTTAATGGCACTATAATCCCATCTGGTGCTGTTGGAAAAAGCCCAAAAAGGTGTTCAAAATTAATGTTTCTTTAAACTTCCAACATCAATTCACTTGAGGACAGGCACCAGGAGCTGTCTCGTACTTTCATACACTCCAGGACAGGTCTGTTATTATTTACAGCCCCTGACCTTTGACTTCTTCTATCTCAGTATGATCCACTCCCTTATCCCTGCCAGGCACCAGAGAAAGTTAAAGTGTTTGAGGAGAGAGTGAGCTCTTAGATGTCCGACCCATGATGTAGAGGAGTGGCGTGGGTGGGGATTGGCAACCATGTGAAGAGTCCATCTTCACTCAACATGAAATAACATACACACACATATCCTCTTGGCCTTCCTGTGTGTATCTGACAAGAGCAGTCACACACAGTTCACAGACTCTATCCTCAGGCGTTCTTCCATGGTGGGCTGTCAGCCAGTGTCCAAACTTAATTTTATTACGCCAGGCCGAAGGGCATGACAGCCCCGCATAATATAAGCTCGTTGTCAAGGATGAGCGTCAAAGTAGGAGAAAGTAAGCCTTTGTGTTTATAGGCCTGACAGGGGCAATTATGGAGAATGGGAGAACTAACTTCCTCCCTTGTCTCTGCAACTATAGTACATCTGCCATCAGTCTAATTCTCACTAGTGCACTGCTGTAGTCTAACTAGTGGAGAAGTTCTTTAAAAGCAGCAACAATCTGACTCATAAAGTTGGAGCCAGGCTAACAGCAGCTTATCCTTACAAGAAGAAACTCCCTGTGCAACCCTCAACTGACCTCACCCTGGGATTCCAGCTCCCCCTCTACCAATGTCTCCAAAGTGTGGGTGATGAAGATGTGATGTCAAAAAGAAGAGATAACAGAAACTTATTCCATGACTCTACTGATGTTTTGATGTGTCGACTTCTAAGAAACTGCGAATGGAAAGTGGCAGATACATGTGGTTTGTCGATAAAGCAGTGACTCATGGTCTTAAATCTGTTCTCTTGTACTGTGTTTTGTTTGACATTTGACTTTTGAATACATATCATCCACAGGAAAATTACAGGGCACTGTCTTGTAGGAAGCTACACTTAAACGTTATTCCTGCCCTGCACATACAACCCATTGTCTCATCTCCTCCTCCATAAGGATGGCGTCTCTCAACTGTAGAAAAGTTCAGATTAAGTCATCAGTAAAATGACGTCCACTCTGTCTCACACTTAATGAGACGAGGAGAGAGGCTAGACAGTGGGGGGAAGGTCTAGGGGATGGATGAATTAAAAAGCCCTGCAGAATGACATCAGCATAGGAGGAAGTAAGGAGGGGAATGTTGGAGGGAGAAGAGGGGTCCATGCTTCACATCCTAAATCATACCGCTCTCCTGAAGCCCTTGCTTCCCAGGCAGAGAAATGAAGACCAATAGCAGCAAGCTTTTAAAGAGACAGCAAGGGCCAAGGAAAGAGGGGGAAATCTCCCCATGTCTGAGTGTCTGCCGTCCAGGCAAGTGGGGAGGAGAAACACGGAAACTAGAGCTGCTGCTGGCGGCCCACTCGGCACAAAGCCCTTTCTCAAATCCCAGCATGCTGGCTGGTTGAACAGTGGGCCGAGACACCGCTGGTGCTCAGCAGACACAGACTCAGCCAGGAAGTCTGAGTGAAACCTTGACTGCGGCTGCATAACCTTTTGTTAATGATTATTACGATTACAGGGTTGGGTCCAAGGCTCACCAAAATGTACAGAATGGGTAGAAACCCAAATGCAGGTCTGTCAGCAGCAAAATTAACCCATGCATTGCTTTTTGCTCCATCCCAGTTGATATAAGGGCTACATGCTCCTAAGACAGTCAGGATGTACCACACTATTATTTTCTCCTCATACTAGTGGGGAATTAGACCTGACCACAGGAATGTATGCATGAGTTTAAGACCCTCAAAATGACTAATGCCAAAATCTCTTAAGGAAGAATGCTGAGACAATCACAGCCTGCTGGGTGTCACAGGGATCACATCCCCACTGAGCCAGGAAGCATCTCAATAAGCATCAGCATTTTGGGCCAGTAAGATGTGATTGCTAAAGGTTACAGCTAACAGGCTTTGTGTAGCGTTTAAAGGGTTAGGGTAGATTAAAAGGTCAGAATAAATATCATTTTAAGGGTAATAAGATTAGGGTGACTTTTGGTCTTTGTTTGGGTTCACTCTTTTTTTATGATGAAATAGCCACTCTTTTAGATTAGCATTATTTTGGTTTTGATACAGGATTAATTTCCAACACAAGTCCAGTTTCCTAAATATATTCAATTACAGTGAGTTGTGTGCACACTGAGGGCGTCTGCGCTGTGCGTAAAGCATGCGCCCAGAGATCACAGTATATACACAAAACTCAGATCTAATGTCAGAGCCAAAACAACATTCAAAAAACGAATTCCGTATTTCCTATTTGGATACTTGCCCTGTAACTTTAACATGGGAGCTGTAAATGTTCTGAAGTTTGGCAAAAACCTGCGATATGGATATAGTCCATGGAAAGTTTGCACGCAACATATTTGTGTACATCTGGGTTTTGTGAAGTACCCAGAAAAATTATAAACAAATGTTTCAGACTCTGTACCGGATCTTGTAGCTGAAACGCACCATCTTCTGTTTTGACTATAAAACAATTAAAAAAAAGACATTATTTCTGTCAAAAAAAAAAACTCACCTGGAAGAATCAGCCAAATAAAAGTCAACAGCGTATCCGAAGTAGCTTCCATTCGGTCCGCTGTACACAGCTGGGTTCTCCACGTCCAAGTTGAACGCCTCGCAGATAGGCTGAGAAAAAGTGAGTAATAGCCCGATGATACAAAGGAGTGAGCGTGCGAAAAGCGCTACCATCCCCGGCGTCTTTACGCGAAAACGTTCCAAGCCCATTTTTCAGAATAAATTAATCCACTAAAGTTAGTCTTAAACAGCAAAACTGTCCCAGTTCTGGCGCTTTCCAAGTCCGCAAATCAAGCTTGAAAACAGCGGTGGAATATGGCTAAAACTGCATCCCTGTAACTCTAAACGGCCAGTATCTCATTAATGCTCCGTCAGCTCCTCTCAGCGTCCTCACTCCTCTCTCTGCCTCTCTCCGGGCCCACGCCTTCTCTGCTCACCTACTCATGATACATGAAGCAGGGAGTTCCCACACCCGTGACAAGGTTTGGAAGAGGAGGAGCCTGTGATTCCCTTAAAAATCTTGAAGGGGGGCTCTTCTCATCCACTATCTTTGAGTATATGTTTACCAATGCGGTATTTGGCACTTTGGCACTTTTGAGTTCAGAGGCTTTCTTATCAGTCACACCAAGATTATTGGCCAAAAGAACAATGGTTCAAAAATCCTCCTTTCGATTATCCTTATTTCTTATCTCACAGTTATCTTGAGCTTTTGAGACTGAAGTTACCGTCAGGAATAGGTGATAGGAAGGTCAATGAAACTTTACATTTCCAACCAATGTATGATGCTATCTTGTGGAACTTTATCTCTTCAGGTTTTCGCTGATAAGTCAGGAATTCAAACTGTAATGAAGCACTGTGTTTTTTTCTCCCTTGAGAGCAAGGCGGATTCACCCCAACTTATTCAATAATAATACTGTAGTTCTGTATTCATAGTTTTGATATTTTAAATATAAACTGCCACCTTTCCACTGGTCAAATAAACTTTCCAAATGTACAACTCTTATAATAAAGCAAATACCCTAACTCCACACTACAACCTTGCAACTAAATGTGTGATCCATATGTATTTCTACCTAATTACAGCGTTGATCTGATTTTGGGCATGTCCTCTAATGCTCTTTGGGGGGTGTGGGAAGATTTCCTATTCCTGCCTCTAAGTCACACGAGACCGAGGAAAGTGGTTAGGCTGTGAAAAGCAACTACTTACTGAAATCAGACCTTTAATAAACCTATCCTGGGCGGCTGGAATTAGTAACTGTTGGTTTAGCTGATTCACTTGAAGCCTCAGGGATTGAACACAGGGGCCAAATTTGGCTGTGTGGCAGTAGCAACATGAACTCTCTGTCAAGTGCTGCTCGTATTTATAACTGGTCTGAAGCGCCCCGAAACATGGAGCGAAGTTTGACTGTAGTCTGATGGGAGTAATCCAGAGTGTCTTGGGGGGGCAGTTCGCAGCTGTTGGGGGCACTTGATGGTTCAAAGCCCTAATCCTGGAGGGGTCTCATTCTCTCACTCTGTTTTTAGGTCCACAGGATGATA